TGGGTGATGACCAGGGGGCAGAGGACTCCAGGGAGATGGGGCAAGCGATATTCAACCCTCATCGCTTCGTCTGCTGCCGATGTTCTCTTGGCACCGGGACCTTCTGTGGTCCTTCCAGACCCCCTGGAGAGCTCTGCACACTCACTCCCGGGGACAGCCCGGCCACGGAGGAGTTCACCTCCTCATGCAGGTGCCTGTGGCATTTACTTAACCCAGGCTTCTCCACCTCAACATTCGACATCTGAGGCAGGATACTCACTTGCCGTGGGGGCCGTCGTGTGCACTGCAGGGCGCTGAGCAGCAGCTGTGGCCTCTGCCCACGGGATGCCAGCAGCACCCCGACCCCTCTCCCCAGTTATGACAACCAAAAATGTATTTAGACATTCCCAAGCGTTCCCTGGGGGTGTGGCCCTCCCCGGCTGATAACCACTGACCTAACTTCTCTGTGCTCTGGGTTGCGCCTGGGTCAGATGAAACAGTGGTTCCTGCCCTGCCAGCCACGCTGATAAGGACCAAGCCATGAAACAAAACAAGCTGTCGATTCTCATCCCTCGCCACGAGGTCCTGCACCCTCCTCTTCGGACCCTCTTCATCAGAAGGAGGCGCCACTTCTTATTCCCCACAGGTCTCCCTCCACAACCTTTCTCCTGGCTCTTTAGGCAAAGAAATAAGCCATATATCCCTTCCCACACACGCTCACACACTCACACTTCAGACACACACACTTCACAGACACACACATTCCATGTACACTCACACGTACTTCACACACACACACATTCCATACACACTCACACTTCACACACACTGCATAGACACAGCATACACACATATTCCAGATACACATACTTCACAGATACACATTTCCATAGATACTCATAGTACACACGCGTGTGCGCACGTGCATGCGCACACACACACACACACACACACACACACACACACACACCCTATTCTTTTTTCCTCAGTCCAAAGGAGTGAAGGAGTGGGGAGGAGTTTCTAAGAGAAGCCCGAAGGGCTTGGGTTGGAAGAGGCACAGTGGAGGGAAAGGGCAGAAGGAAGGACCCCCAGATTCTGGCACCAGCCACCCACTCTCCTGCTCCCCAGTCCTGACTCTTCCAGAACCAGGATCTCAAAGTGCAGTCCACCCTCAGGGGAGTGGGTGCACTCAGAGCAGGTGAAAGGAGGCAATCTCTTCCTGAGAACCTTCCTGATCATCCCCAGCCTGAGTGGCTTCTTTCTCTAGCACCTTCTCCCTGTCTCTATGGCCCACAGAGCAGACTCGGAGGAGGGACGGCCCCTCAAGGGTCTTCTCAGAGTTCCACGTTGGGGAGCATTTGCTCCTGACTCCTCAGTGACCGGCACAGAATAGATACTCCCAAAGGGGGCCTGGGGTGAGCTCCGGTTGGCTCCAAGGAGCTCAAACCTAGTGGCAGAGAGAGATAAGCATACAGGTGTTCCCAACGTGTTGAGTGTGCTTGTTGCTCTCCTTATGATCAGTAAGTCCTATGAAGGAGGGGTGTGCAGCGGGGGTGTGGCCTGGAGGAAATTCAACCTCTCTGTGCCTCGGTTTCTCCCTCTAAAGCAAGGAGACAATGATAAACCTAACCAAAAGGGTGTCATGAGGATTTAATGAGTTAATGTATACAAAGTGTTTATAATCAAACACAAGTCCTCAAACACTGTTAACTATTATTTTTATAAATGCTATGTAACTGCTCATTACTTTTCTGAGGGAAGATTACTAATATCACAAGCCATAAGCTCTGCGGAAGAGGCAAAGAACAGGACCCCAAGATTTCTTCAGCAAATTCACCCTAATCATTAAGGCCAATGAACTTCCCTTAGTAGGGTTGGATACCTCCACGTCCCAGGCACCCCAAGAGGGCCCAGGAGAGGCCCTTGTGCTATGGCTAGTACCTCTGTTCATCGCCCATACCAGTGCTCTGGTTTCCCTGGGCTAAGCTTCCCTGAGCTCTTTTTGGTGCCCAGTTGAGGCATGGCCTATGGGCAGTGCTGGGTCAGAGTCTGCAGGTCCCACCATTTACTAGGCACCAGCTCCCTAATGGGATGGAGGGCCCCATGGGTGAGCCACACATTCATCGATCCCTTCATGAGGTCGTATTGGGCCCTCTTCCTGTGAAGGAACTAAGATGCACAAATGTCTTCTTTCCAGGACCTGCCAGGGAACAGCATTCAAAACATTTATTGAGCACCTACTATGTGTTCAATACAGCAGCAAACATAATAGACAAAACTCTGTCCTCATGAGCTTTCATTCTAGAGAGAGAAGCAAATAATGAACACTGTATATAGCATATTGAGGACTAGAATGGGGCAGAGAGTTAGGGGAGCAGTGCAGGAGAGAGAAAACAGATTTGCAAACATAAATGAAGAGTTCCTACCATGCAAGGCGTTCATTCATTCATTCATTCAGCCTCTGAAAGACCTTTGGAGCCCCTGCTGGGCCAGGCACTGCGTGAGACAGAGGAAGCCCAGTGGTGGACCTGGTTCCCCACCTCCACCCTTAAGAGCTCACACAGGTCAACCCAGAGCAGGCGGATGGTGATGGGTGTCATAACAAAAGAAAAGTGTTGGACACTCAAGTGGCCCCAAACTGCAGGAGCCTGCCTGTCAGGGGAGGCTCCACTGAGGAGGTGGCATTGAGCAAGGGCTAGAAGGCCTAGTAGGATTTTTCCCAGGGATCAAAGTGTGCACACGGGATCAGGAATGGTCCCCGGCAGAGGCACGGAGATGGGAACAGGCCAACGCCGCTGAGCAGAGGTGACCCGTGCCCAAAGGTGCTGGCCGGACACTGTCGGCTTGGTTTGGGTTTGTCAGGCTAACCAGAGCAGACAACAGAAGTCATTCCTGGACCTAGGGAAGTCCCAAGGAGATGCTGATGTAGGGCGGGAGAAGGGGTTTGCTCGGTGGGAAGAGTAAGGGTGTGTCGGGTTAGCTCACCCCCAAATGGCCTGTGATCCCCTAGGTGAAGAAGATGGCCCTGCCTCCGCAGGCCTTCCTGCTGAGGATGGGCACCTCCCTCAGGAGGCAGCGCGAGGGTAAAGGTCACGAGCCTAGCCTGGGGTCTGCACTCAGACTCAGTCCTAAGCCCAACCCTCGTTCGGTGACCTCGGGCAGGTTACTTGACCTCTGGGCTTCTGCTTCCTCTTCTGGTGAGGCCCAAGTGCTAGGCCCAGAGCAGGTGCTTAGGACTCTTAGTCCTGCTGTTATAACTCTTCTCTTCTTGTCTGTCAGCTGGAGAGAGAAGGAAAAATGGGACCCCTGCTCTTGCCTCTGGGACACTCAGCCCTCTGTGGGCTCCGTCTCACCTTTGGACAGCCCCTCTCTGTAGCTGTCCCCCTTCCTTTCCTCATTCAGATTCCTCACACACGCTGGCCCAAACGGGGCTCTGTTTAACTTAGACCACATCCTTGCTCCCCTCCCCCTAAGCTCCTCCTTACTCCAGAGTCAGCTGAGAAGTGAGAAGGCTCAGCGGGGGTGGCCCCAGGGCCATACAGGGGAGGACCGTGGATTCAGACTTGACCTCGGCTCTGTGGTGTCACCCGCTCTTCCTCCTCCTTCGCATTCTTCCCCTGGGTCCTCTGCTGGTGACAGAGGGGAGCCAGTCCCATGTATTGCAGGTGTGGGGCTGTCCTTGGGAAGGGATGTGAGCAGCTTGCAGTCCCTCTACAGGAGGACGTGTGGGCAGGGCGTCCCGGGGCCCCAGTTGCCCTGCTGCCGTGGGATCTCCTCAGCCAGCAGGACCTTCCCTCTCAAAGGCTCAGCCACCACACGCCCTGGCTGAGCAGCCCCTTCCCATCTGCCCTCCTGCCGTCCACACTCCGTTACCTCCACCCTCCCCAAAAGGCAGTGCCCGGTGCAAGGTCTGGGGGTCATTTTTTAACCAGCTTTATTGAAATATGATTCACATACCACACGGTTCGCTCATTTAATGGCTTTTCATACACTCACAGAATTGTACGACCATCACCACAATCAATTTCAGAACATTTTCGTTATTCCCCGAAAGAAACCCCATACCCACTCCCCTAAGCTTTCAGCAACCCCTAATCTACTTTGTCTCCATCTAGATTAGCCTATTCGGGACACTTTATATCATTGGAATCATACAATATATGGTACTTTGTGAACGTTTTCTTCACTTAGCATCATGTTTTCAAGGTTCATCCATGTTGTAGCACGTGTCAATGTTTCATTTATTTTTATTGTTGAAAAATATTCCATTGCACATGTATTCCTCATTTTATTTGTCCATTCATCAGCGGATGGGCATTTGGAGTTCTTCCCACTTTTTGGCTATTGTAAATAATGCTGCTATGAATATTTGTATACAGTGTTTTAAATGGACATGTTTTCATTTCTCTTGAGGATATATATACCTAAGGGTGGAATTGCTGGATCATATGGTAATTCTATGTTTAACTGTTTGAGGAGCCACCAGACTGTTTTCCAAAGTGGCTGCACACATTTACATTCCCACCAGCAGTGTTTAAGGGTTCCAGTTCCTCCACCTCCTCACCAACACTTATTATCAGTCTTTTTAAAAAGGTTTTATTTATTTATTTTTAGAGAGAGGGGAAGGGAGAGAGAGAAAGAAACATTGATGTTTGAGAGATACATCAATTTGTTGCCCCTCACATGCCTCCAACCGGGGACCTGGTCCGCAACCCAGGCATGTGCCCTGACTGGGAATCAAACCGGTGACCTTTTGGTTCGCAGGCTAGCACTCAGTCCACTGAGCCACACCAGCCAGGGCTGTTATCAGTCTTTGATTACAGCCGTCCTAGTGGGTGTGAAGTGGTATATCATGGGTTTGCATTTGTCTGGTGACTAAAGATGTTGAGGATTTTTTCATGTGATTATTGTCATTTATATGTCTTCTTCAGAAAAATATCTGTTCAGACCCGTTGTCCATTTTTTAATGGGGTTATTTCTCTTTTTATTATTAAGTGGAATCCATGTTCATCGATAAGGGGATGGCGGCTCATATAAGTCACAGTCGACTCAAGGCCAAGGGTGTGGGCCAACACAACAACGCCCACAACTACAGTAACCAGAGCTTCGAGGAGCTGCGAGCGCTCTGTCTGAGGAAGGGGGAGCTGTTCGAGGACCCCGTATTCCCTGCCGAACCCACTTCACTGGGCTTCAAGGAACTGGGCGCCAACTCCAAACACGTGCAAAACATCTGCTGGCAGCGGCCCAGTGTGGGCACTGGGAGGGGAGGCATCGACTCCTGGGGGAAGGGGCGGAGCGTAGTGGTGCTCCCGTCACTTTGATAATCTGCAGTCACCCACAGCCGTATCCTGGCCCTGGCACTAGTCTCCACCTCTGTCAGGGCTGGGGACAGTTCTGGACATGCTTAAGCAAAATCTCTCAGATAATCCCTAGGAAAGCCACTCACCAACCTTTGCTATCACAACCTACAGCCGTGCCAAGCTGGCCCTGTCCCCTCCCCCCCTCCACATTTCCCCTTAGAACTTGGAGGTGGGCATCATTCCTCAGGAAAGACCGGAGGCAGATGGGGAGAGGGGTGTCCTGGGCTTCCTGAAACCTGTGTTCCTTCACTGCAGGAAATCACCAGCACTCCTCACTTCATTGTGAATGGCGTCAGCCCCACGGACATCTGCCAGGGGGTGCTTGGTGAGTGGCGAGGAGGAGAGTTGGTCTCCATCGGAGGCAGGGCTGAATTAGGGAAGGGGGCTGAGGTGGGGGGGCGTGCCAAAGTGCCCTTTGAGGCTGGGGAACGAGGACCCCTTAGGTTCAGACAATGTCTTCCGTTTCCCTGTCACTCCCTTTCTGAGCAGATGGTAATGAAAGTGTCGGGTGGGTCATCCTGCTTCTCCCCTAATCTGGATCCAGCACACACACCCCTGCCGCAGTCTGGGTCTGGGAGTAAGCTGGGCAGTATGTCAGTTGTCAACCACTGCACAATAAATTACCCCAATGCTCAGCGACTTAACGCAACCACCAGTGTGATATCATCTGACCGCTTCTGTAGGGCAGGAACTCTGAAGCAGCATAGCTGGGTGGGTCTGGCTCAGGGTCTCTCATGAGGCTGCAGCCAACATGCCAGTCGGGGCTGTGGTCATCTGAAGGTTTGACAGGAGCTGGAGGATCCACTGCCAAGAGGGTGTGCTCACATGGCGGCAGGCCTGAGCGTCCACACTACAGGGTAGATAGTTTCTTCCAGATGCACATGCGTGCACACTGCACACACGCACAGTAAGGTAACCTCCCCCATGTTCTAATTGTTAGAAGCAAGCAAGAAGTCTGGTCTACACTCAAGGAGGGGAAAAGGAGGCTCCACCTTCTGAGGGGAGGAGAGTCAAAGAACTTGGCACATCTTAAAGCCACTACAGGTGCCAGAGCTTCCTCAGTCTGGGGTGTCACATAGAGAAGCAGTGGGCCACCTTCACCCGCTCTCCCACAGGTTCCCATGGAAGTCCCAAGAGACATCTTCCTCCCTAAACCTGGTCCTGTTCCAGGGTTTCCTCCAAACCCCTCGCTGGATCTTCAGGGTTAAGGCCAGGTTGGGTTTCCTCTGGGGCTGAATTCCGTCCAATCTGTAGCAGAAAGAGGAGCAAGGTGCGGACAAGGCAGAGGCAGAGGATAGGCCCCCAGCTGCCGCTGCAACTCACTGGGCTGGAGCAGCCCCAGATTATCAGAGAAGAAAACTGGCTTCTCCCTGGATGCCCTTTTGGCAATGGTGGACTGAAGCAGCCTTAGCTTTCCTTTCCCATCCTCTGCCTCCCTCCCGGGGGTACCTCCGGCAGCCAGGAGGCCACTGGTGATCACAGAAGCTTTCCCAGTACCCTCAGTCTCAACCTGGCGCAGGGCACTCACAGGGGGCAACCCCTGCCCCCCAGCACCAGCCCATGGGGTCTGAGATCCCCAGGAGGGAGGTGGCAGTGGATGACCTCAGACCAGGCACACTGCCCCTGTGCCTGATGCCTGGCCCCAGAGACCCCGGGGTACAGACTGAGCCCCTTGAGTCTCCAGCATTATGTGGGTGACATCAGGGAGAGGCGCCCTGATTGCTACACCAGCGTAATCATGGGCTAGATGTGGGGTCCATGAGGGAAGGTGACTGGATTTCTTCAAGGGATGGAAGATGATTAGCTCTCTTCCAAAGGAAGCAGGTTCCAGAGTGAGGAGCAACACTGAGGCCAAAGATTCCTCCTCCCTAAATCCCCAAACAAAAGCACCTGGCTCTAATTTTTAAATCTCTCAGCTAAAAGAAAAAGTAGAGAAACTTACTCCACATCCCCAGACCGTGTCCTTTCTGCCCTGCTTCTTCCCACCAGCTTCCTTAGCAGGGGGGCCTGCTGGCGAGGGGGCCACAGAACCAGTTCCTGCTCCTCAGTGGCTTGGGTTTTGGGGCCCACACATGTGCGGGAGTGCTCAAGGGGGAAGCCTCTGCCTGTCTTTCCAGGGGACTGCTGGCTGCTGGCTGCCATCGGCTCCCTCACCACATGCCCCCAGCTGCTGTACCGCGTGGTACCCAAGGGGCAGAACTTCAGGAAGAACTATGCTGGCATCTTCCATTTTCAGGTGAAGGGTGATTGGAAAGTCAGAGTTGCTTTGTGGGATGTGTGCATGGTGGTGGGGGGGGGGCAGTATGGAGGGAGAGAGAGAATTGCTACGTGCTTTGAAGTTTACCTTTTTTATTTTCTTTTTGAAAAATGACATTTATTAGAATGGATTTCTGCTTAATTACCAGAGAAGTATCTGGTCACTAAAGAAATTGTGTAAGCTAATTTTTAAATGGCCCCCTGCACACAAAAACACTAATTGTTATCAGCTGGTGGGTCTCCTCCTCCTCCTCCTTCTCCTCTCTCTCAGTAGATACACATACATACATATACATGCAATATACTGGAATTCATTTATAAAGAATTTATAAATATTTATTTATACATGTATTTATTTTTACATGTTTAAACTTCAGACACCTTCAGCGTACTTCCCATTGACTATAATACACCTATTGAGACTTTTTTCCACTGCTTGAAAGTTTTTGAACTCATCAATTTTGATGCCTTTTAGTGTTCCTGCCGTTTTCACTTCACCTCCTCCACATCGGCAAAATGTTTCCCTCTGAGGACTTTTTTCATTCAGGGAAACAACAACAAAAAAAGTTGCTTGGGGAGAAGGCTGGTGAATAAGGAGGGTGGGGCACGGGGATCATGTCATTTTTGGTCAAAAACTGCTGAAGGCTCAGAGCACTGTGGGCAGGTGCACTTGTAAATCACCCATTATGAAATGGGCAAACACGTTGAAAGAGTCTTCAAAAAAAAAACTTCACTGAAGCCGAACACAGCTTCTCACAACAATGCCAGTTGGCTCACTGACACACATGGGTTCCTAGAACACTCACCTAGAGAGGGAAGCTTGTACTACAAGGGGTCCACCCTCCGGAAGACAATTCCTGTTTTTAACGGGTCCTCACTCTTATGTGTGTATGATATTGGGAATCTCTGTCATATAATTTTAGAATTTGTTCTTTAAATTTAGCAACATGTGGGTAAATATCCCATGTCATAAAGTATTTTTGAGAATCACAAGGTGTTTTTCTAAAATATTTTATTTACTTACTTTTAGAGAGAGGGGAAGGGAGGAAGAAAGAGAGGGAGAGAAACATCAATCAGTTGCTTCTTGGGCACCCCTAGCTGGGGACCAGGCCCACAACCCATGCATGTGCCCCAACCAGAAATTGACCCAGCCACCTCTCGGTTTACACGTTGGCGCTCAGTCCACTGAGCCACACCAGCCAGGAATAGAAATGAGAGTTTTTAAGACCTTTGGAATCCTATAATCCAGCCAAGGTCAGACTATGAGTTCCGTCCGCTTGGAAGCGGTGGCAGGGCCTGGAAATGAAGCTGGTGGTGAAGTTCACGCTCTTCATCGTCTTTCACTCACTATTCAGCCATTCTGGGGGAGTCGGCTCTGGCCACCAGGAGGCGCTCATGTAACAGTGCTCTCACACAAGGGGGGGGCTGTGTGTGTGTGAGCGCGCGCACGCGCGCGCGCTGGTGTTTGACGGAAGGTGGGCTAGACAGATGCAAGATGCCTCATGACCCACTGAGACCCACCCTGCTGCCCACAGATTTGGCAGTTTGGGCAGTGGGTGAACGTCGTGGTGGATGACAGGCTACCCACAAAGAATGGCAAGCTGGTGTTTGTGCACTCAGGTGAGCGCACTGAGTTCTGGAGTGCCCTGCTGGAGAAGGCGTATGCCAAGTGAGTGCCCTGAGTCAAGAAATTGGATTTGCCTCCAAACCTGCCCCACCAGCTGGCTGCTATGGGGGCAGCTGGAATCAAGGGAAAAGGCAGGGGTGGCAGGGCGTCCTTCCCTCCCCTCACTCTACCCTCTGATGTCCAAGCTCAAATCTGTACTCCAGAGCCCAAACAGTACCCTCTATGTGCCAACAGGCTGAACGGGTCCTATGAAGCACTGTCAGGGGGCAACACGGTGGAGGGCTTTGAGGACTTCACCGGAGGCGTGACCCACAGCTTCCAACTCCAGCGGCCCCCTAAGAACCTGCTGAGAATGCTCAGGAAGGCCATAGACCGATCTTCTCTCATGGGCTGCTCCATTGAAGTAAGCCATGCTTAGTCCTGCCTCAGGACTTTTGCACCTGCTGTTACTTTTACCTTGAAGGTTCTTTCCCCAGATACCTGTACGACTAGCTTCTTCTTATTCACATTTCAGTTCAAATGTCCCTTCCTCAGGTTAGAGTTCCCTGCCTCCCCAATCTAAATAAGCTGCTCCTACCCCCATATACTCTCTACTTTGAAATTTCAATATGAAATTCTTACTTACTATATGTTTATTCATAGCTTATCTTCTCCAGACAGTTTTCATGTTCCATGAAGGCAGTGACCTTATTTGTCTCATTCATTGCCTTATCCTGGGCCTTAGGGATGGCATTTGGTATACAACAGCAGACCAACAAATGTTTGTTCAGATAAATAAATAAACCTAGAGTACTACTGTATAACCCAACAATTGCATTCTTGTGCATTTATCCCAGAGAAATAATGACAAGTCCACACAAGAGCCTGAACACAAAATGTTTATAGCAGCTGTATTCGTAATAGCCAGAAAATAGGAACAACCTAGATGTCCTTCAAAGGGCGAATAGTTAAACTGTGGTGCACACACCATGAAACACTACCCAGCAATAAAAAGAACTATTGACACAAGCAACAACTTAGGCTAATCTCAAGGAAATTATGCTGAATTAAAAAGCCAATCCCGAAAGGTACCGTAGTATACGCTTCTATTAATATGACAATCTTAAAATGACAAAATGAAAAAATGGAGAACAGACTAGTGGTTGTCAGAGGGTAGGGAAGGGGGCAGGAAGAATTCCTACAGGGACAATGAGAGGGGTGTTCGGGTGATAGAAATACATGACATGGTTGGTGGTGGACACACAAAACTTACACAGGTGAGAAAACTATTTAGAACTCACACATGAGAACTAGTAAAAGTGGAGGAATATGTATAAAATTGACAAATGGCATCCACACCAAAACCTGGTTTTGATATTGTGCCATCGTTTTGCAAGATGTTACAACCAGGGAGAACAGGCTGTCGGTGCATGAGATCTCTTTGTACTGTGTCTTACAACCGCAGACGGACCTTCGATTATTTGAAAATAGAAAGTTTAATCTTAAAGAAGTAACCCCTGCCTTCAGTGCCCCAGCCCCACCCCCTGACCAGACCCTCAATCCCTTTCCTTTTCCTCTGTTCTATAGATCACCAGCGACAGCGAGTTGGAAACTCTGACGCAGTGTATGCTGGTCAGAGGACACGCTTACTCAGTGACTGATCTTCAGGATGTGAGTCTCATGAGCACCCTACCCTGAAGGGCATGTGAAGAAAGAGAAATTCCTCCTGCCCCGTGCCCCTGACCTTTACTCACTCCCCACCCAGATCTGGTACCGAGGCAAGACAGAAACCCTGATTCGGGTCCGGAATCCCTGGGGACGAGTTGAGTGGAATGGAGCCTGGAGTGACAAGTAGGTGCCCTCGACTGCTGCTCTCAGGGAAGGGGCAGAGCACACTGCAGGCCCGTGAGCAGGGCCATGCACAGAGGGACCCGCAGGCACACCAAGGCGCACCCTCCCTTCTAGTCTCTCCATATAACTCAGCACCCCCAGCAGGCAGGCATTCAGTGGTAGGGATGTCTGGAGGGGAAAGCAGGTACCTCCTGCCCCCGCCCCCGGCTCCCTCTCACTGCCTGTCTCTGCCCCAGCTCCAGAGAGTGGGAAGAGGTGTCCCCAGATGTCCAGAAGCAGCTGCTGCACAGAATGGAGGATGGGGAGTTCTGGTCGGTGCAGTTTGGTGGACTTCGTTCTCCCCCCTCAAGCCCTGCCCCTTTATCTCCCCCCACCCTCCCCACCACGTGGTGGATGTGGCGGCTCCTGGGACGGGGGGGCGGGGGAGGGCCCTGAGGGTGTGGGCATGCCAATGGCGGGCTGTAGCGCTCAGGCCTCCTGCCGCAGGATGTCCTACCATGATTTCCTGAAGAACTTCACGGCGCTGGAGATCTGCAGCCTGATGCCTGATGCACTCTCTGGGAACCACAGGAGCTCCTGGCACACCACCTTCTACGAGGGCAGCTGGCGGCGGGGCAGCACTGCGGGGGGCTGCAGAAACCACCTTGGTGGGTGCAAGGAGCCAGGGAGGGGCCAGTGGCTCACCACACAACCCTGCCTGGGGACCCAGGGTCCCAAGGGTCAGGGTCCATGAACAGGCAGGGGCCCATCGAGTCCTGCCGGCTCTGTGGAGAAGGCAGGCACGTGGCTGAGAAGTGCAGAGCCACCCTGACCTGCTCTCTCCACAGACACATTCTGGACCAACCCCCAGTTTAAGATCTGTCTCCCCGAGGAGGACGATGACCTAGAAGATGACGAGATCATCTGCACTTGCATGATAGCCCTGATGCAGAAGAACTGGCGGAGGGCACGGCCCCAAGGAGCCCAGCTGCAGACCATTGGCTTTGTCATCTACACAGTAGGCGCCCCAGCAAGTGCCCCCAGCCACTCCTGCTCCTTCCCTGTGCCTTCTCCCCGGGGCCACTGCCGTGGGACCCTGGTGTGGGACCCTCTCCAGCAGGCTCCACGGCCCTGGCTCTTTATTGCGTGGCGCATTGTGCCAGCAGTTTCCTTTTAACAAATTTTTTTCATTGAAAACACTTAGGTGGCACTTCCTTTGTGCCAGGCAACCCACCAAAGGCCTTACGAATGGTAATGCCTTTTATGAGAAGGAAGGAGACTGAGAGCCAGAGAGGTGAGGTCACTGGCCCAAGCTCACACGTCCAAGTGTCAGCAGCAGAAGCTGTGTCCTGATCCCCAGACACGTTGAGAATTCTGCACAAGGCCCCCGAAGCCTCCCTCAGATGCCCCACCGGGAGCATTGACTCCAATGACCAAGAGAAATCCCTGATAAGTATTTCCCAAACCGCGCTTTGCAGAATCCTTCAGGCGGCCACTTGTTCATCCTCTTAGATACACAGCTAGTATTTGTGGAACACGCACTGCATGCCAGGCCCCAGTTCAGCCTCCAGTGGTTCAACAGTGGAAAAAAAAAACCAGACACAAGACAGGCCCTCCTCCTAGACCGTGAGTCCACTGGGTTAAAAGATGCTCTTCAAGACAAGATGTTCTCAAGGTCAGATGCAGTGCTTTCAGGAAAGGCTGTTCCCGCACCCCCATCCCCCCGTGTACAGCGCCATCAGCATATTACAGGTTCTGGTCATCCCTGAGGGAGAGCAATTTATTTATCTCGGTTTAGCTCACCTTTTTCCCCAAGTTCATTGGTGCTCAACGCTCTGTTTAATAATCCTTTATTAGCTTCCTGCAGGATAAGAGTGTTCCATGGAAATGCTCAGGGTCAGGAAAAGGCTCGCTGGATTTCCATCCCAGCTCTTTCCATTTTTAGCAGTGTGAATTGGGCGAGTTACCTCACCTCCTGGGGATTCTGTTCCCTGTCCTTGACCTGAAGTGGTAAAAATCTCCCCCTGGCAAAACGCTGTAGACTACACTTTGCTGGCCCAAACTGAGAGATTATTAACATTAACACTAGGACTTTTATCAGAGTCCATGCCCCGCCCCCCATTACCAGTGTCCCAGTGCCCTTAACAGGCCCTGCCAACACACACCCACTATGTGCACCCACCCAACGCACACTATGCATGCCTCTCACATGGCTTCCACAAACCTGAGTCCCCTTCACCATCCTGGGGATCTGACCCTCTTCTCTCTTCCCTTCCTAGGTCCCAAAGGAGGTACAGAAGACATGGGGCTTAATCCTGGCCGGGACGCATGTGGATGGGCAACGGGTGGAATTTGGCAAAGGGCCCTGGGTGGAAGCCAGGGAAAGGAGAGATCACACCAGGGTGTCTGCTGGTTGGGTGGTGTCCAGCACCGGTCAGGGGGTGGAGATGCCCCCCGCAACAGCCCTGCCCAGCCAGGCTTCACCTTGGAGGTCCCTCTCCCAGCCCTCCCACGCCAGCCCTGTGCCAACCTCCAGGGCACATATAGTTGCAGAACATCCAGGATATCCACTTGAAGAAGGAATTCTTCTTGAAGTATCAGGACCACGGCTTCTCAGAGATCTTCACCAACTCACGGGAGGTGAGCAGCCATCTCCAGCTGCCTCCAGGGGAATATATCATCATTCCCTCCACCTTTGAGCCGCACAGGGATGCCGACTTCCTGCTTCGGGTCTTCACAGAGAAGCACAGCGATTCCTGGTGAGGGGCCTCACCCACATGCTCCAAGACCTCCTGCTCAGGAGCTGTAAGACGCCAAGCTCAGGGAGCAGTCCCCTGGTGTCCCCCACCCCAACCTTGTCCCTGTTTTACAGTCAGGGAGACTAAGGCATGAGGAGGAGAAGTCCCAGTTAGTAGCAGAAGCAGAACTAGAACCCAGGTGCCATGAGCCTGTTCCATATTGCTTCAGACATATGACCTGACTCCTCCCCTCCCGGAGTCACTGAAATCTTGTCCTCCTGACCCCTGGTAAACCCTGAGCTTCATTCACTTTTGCCCAGGGAACTGGATGAAGCCAACTGTGCAGAGATACTCCAAGAGGTGAGGGGGAGCTCTGGTGTTGGAGGATCTGAGGAAGCCTCTGAGGAATGTGAAGGAAATTTCTGGACTGAGTTCCTTTCCCATAACTTTCCCGCCAGGAGAACATCTCTGAGAATGACATAGACAAGGACTTCAAACACTTATTTGGGATCGTGGCAGGAGGAGAGGTGAGAGCTGAGGGCCAGAGCTGAAATGAGGTGGCGGGGGGCTGAAAGGGCCAGCGCAGGGGTTTACAGTCCCCCTTCCTAGGGCAAGGAGATAGGCGTGTATGAGCTACAAAGGCTGCTCAACAGGGTGGTCTCCAAACGTGAGTCTTCCTGCCCTACCACTCACAACCCTTCCCCCCGCCAGCATGGCCCCAACTTGACCACTGTCTGTGGCCCCCACCACCCCCTACTCACTCCTTCTCTTCCTGCCCCTTCCCCCTCACAGTCAGAAACCTCAAGACCAAGGGCTTCGGCGTGGACGTGTGCCGCTGCATGATCAACATCATGGATGTATCTTCCTGTCCAGTGGGTGGTCTTTTCCAGTGTGCCCCTGCTCCTGCCCCCTACCCTCAGCCTGGCCCCCACATGGCCACTTCTCTGGCCAGCCATGTGCTCCTTCCAGAAGGGGAGTAGGCTCTGGGGTAGCAAACGATGCCAGTTCTTCTGACTGTTATCCTAGCTCCCATACAGGACCCATCCGCGAGTCCTTCTGCTTCCCTGCCCCCAGATGCCTCCTCACTCCTGTCTCTGATATCCTTGACCACCCTGCAGAAAGATGGCTCTGGCAAGCTAGGGCTTCTGGAATTTCAGGTCCTGTGGAATAAAATCAAGAAATGGACGGTAAAGGGCATCAAAAGGGCAGTTTGTGGGGGTAAGAAAAGAAGATCCTCGAAAGGGATGGGCACTAGTAAGGATGAAGCTAGAACCGGAACCCCTGACTAGACACACATATGCACACACACGCACATGCAACAGGCCAGGATCTGCTGGACTGTTTGTGTATTAACTAGTCAAAACATTTGATAAACAATGTAGTCCAGGTATGAGCTAGCCAAAAGGATACATGCAGAGAGCTCTGGCAGGGTGTCAGAACGCCCTGGAATTCACCTGATAGCCACCAGATAACAGGAATAGTGGGAGCTCAGGGGATGGGCCAGGGCAGGGAGTCCCTGGGGTCTTGGGTAGCAGCTGTGAGTCAACTATACTGAACTATTTCACTATTTCAACCACCATGCCATGCACACGCCCTACCTCATCTGTGTGCCCCTTCAGGACATCTTCCATGACTGTGACCAGGACAACTCAGGCACCTTGAACTCCTATGAATTGCGCTTAGCAATTGAGAAAGCAGGTGGCCAGGGGTCAAGAGGGGGCTTTGGGGCAGGGACAAAGAAGACAGTGGCCAGAGGTCTGATCTCTCTTCCGCGCACCACTCTCTCCCAGGTATCAAGGTGAATAATAAGGTGGCACAGGTGCTGGTGGCCAGATATGCAAATGATGACATGATCATGGATTTTGACAGCTTCATCAGTTGTTTCCTGAGGCTGAAGGCCATGTTCAGTGAGTCCGCCACCTGCTCATTCCCCACCCTAGGCGGGGACCGCTGGCCTTCTCCCACATACTCTTACGAGGAACGCAGCTCCAGAGCCACTCCCCCTTCCAGGGCACAGATGATCTGGGTTGAAATCCCAGCTCCACCACTTACTGGCTCTGTACCTAGAGCAGGTCACTTTATCTCTCGAACTTTATTGCCTTGCCTATAAAATGAGGACAATAATGGTCCTGCCCTCATAGGATGGAAGTACAGATTAAATGAGGTAGTATATGTGTGGAGAGCACTCAGAACTGGGCCTGGCTCAAAGCAAGGCTTTATGAATTGTTATCATTAACCCCCTGCTGGGTGGAGGGGTAGCGGGTCAGCTGAGGAAGCAGCAAGGGACAGCTTCTTGCCCCCTTTCTGACATCTTGCCTAATCGGGAGTGGGTATTTCAGATACATCCACAAACTCAGCTCTCAACCTTCTCCCCTTGCCTCCTCCCCCAAACAGCATACTTTTTAACTATGGACCCCAAGAATACTGGCTATATTTGTCTGAACCTGAACCAGGTACATGGACAAGATCCTCTGGCACCCCCCACCTAGGGTTCCACCCACCCTCTGCTCTCCCCAGCCGCCCGGCTCCAGCCCCGCCCTCAGATCTGCTGCGTCTCTCCTCACAGTGGCTGCAGATAACCATGTGGGGATAGAGAGGTTGCAGGAGCCTGGCTGCCTACCACCCGGCTGCCGCCAACCCACTGGGGTTCTGGCCCAGAGGGCCGGGTACTCTCTGCAGCTCTCAGCTCGTCAGACTTTGTTGATGGAATGAGCTCCAGGTGGCAGCACCGGGGCCCCAGATGCCATTCATACCCTGTTTGTCCTCCAGGCCTAGCCTCCCAGCTCAGTGTTTCTGTTTTTCCCCAGCCAGGCTTCTGGTGACTGGATTTACCCGCCAGCCTCTCCCCCTCCCTGAGTATATTTTATTAAAGACTAATTGATAATTCCCCAGGCTGGGGAGGTTCTTCACACTTTCTGTCCTGCCTCCACTTTGCCTGCTGACCGCTCCTGGCATGGCCTCTCTCTTCTCTCTCACTCAGGGGCATTAATACAATCCACAACACCTGTCACTGACTTCTGTGTCTCCGTGTTTCCATGCCAGGAGAAGACTGGAGCGGGTGGCAGTCACTTTCCCAGCACCAAAGAGGGGCCTCAGTGAGGGCAGTACCACCCCTCCTCCAGGAAGCATTTAGAAATGTGCGGTTGTCGCCAAAACTAGAGCGTGCGTTTGGCATTTATGGGCCGTTCCAGGGATGCTTAATGCACGACAGGCCCCGGGAACTGTATGGAGCACGGCACATGGAGCAGTGTCCAGGGGGAGGTCTGAGCCAGTGGCCAACCAATCCCCCGCCAGAACTGGGCAGAGTTAGGGGTCCGCAGGGCCCTGAGCCTCCTCTCTCATCTCACCCCTCAAACCGCAGTTTCCAAAGGTTGCACTCCAGATGCCACAAAGGTCAAAAGCCCAACAGCCGCAAAAGTCAGCAAGTCAGAAATGAACCGACCCTCCTGAGTGGGAGGGCGGGAGGGGCGAGATCGGTGGCAGCAGGTCAGTCCCTTCCAGGCCTCAAGGCGCTCTGATTTCGAATCGCTGTTAGAAAATTGCTCCTGCCAGCCCTGACCGGTGTGGCCCAGTTGGAGCATCATCCTTTAACCTGAAAGGTCACGGGTTCAATTCCCAGTCAGGGTACATGCCTAGGTTGTGGGTTTGGTCCTGGTCAGGGCACGTACGATACAACAGATGGGTGATTCTCTCTCACATCAATGTTTCTCTCCCTCTCTCTCTCTCCCTCCCTTCCCCTCTCTCTAAAAATCAGTGAGTATGTCCTCAGCCCACTAGTTCTTAACCTTGGAGTCTCTGCCCTAGATGTCCCCCCACCCCCGCCAACTCTCCATGGCTTCCAGAGGTCTGGTCTCTCTAGCCCAGGCTGGGGCCTCCCCATAAGAGGGCTTTTCAGCCTCTTGAATAAGGACAGCCTCCAAATTCCCTTCATTTTGGACCTGTCAACCCGAAATGAGTCTAACTCTTTCCTGGTCAATGTGCACTTCCAGCTTCCCGAGGTAGCTGGCTTCCAGTTCCTCTCACGGAAGTGCTTGCTCAGAGGCTCCCCTCCACTTGCACTAACCCACCCCCCTCTCTTATGCTTAGTTGGGGGGTGGGATTCCAATCTCCCTTGATCAGGTGACTGACTCTGCACCAGTCCTCCCCTACCCCCACCCCCACCCCCGTCCTTTGTGACTTCAAAGACTAAACCAAGTCTCCCACCCCCTCCCACAGTGGCCCTTGGCCAGGCATGTTGGTTAGAGCATTGTCCCCATAAGCCAAGGCTGTGGATTTGGTCTCCTATCAGGATCTCTCTCTCTCTCTCTCTCACACACACACACACACACACACAAATCAATTAAAAAAAGAAAGAAATGTCAGAGTAACCTTTTCCAGGCCTCTGAGGGTGCACCCACCTCACCAGAGCATGAGACTACAGAACCCCTCGCTGTTAATCTCATTCCCCCGAATACCATCTCTCTGTGTTGTAAATGTTAATTATTAACTGTCCTGTACCTACCAATGTAAAAGTATATGTCTCTCCATTTTGGTTTTGTTTCCAACCCCAAAGATTTCCCCACTTTTTTTTCTCCTGTCCCCTTAATCTACGATCAGTGGATTCCATGTAACCCCCTTAAGCCTCCTCCTTTGATATCTAATTGAGGCAGGAGACAGCATAGGAAGAACTCTGAGACTACACTGCTGTTACTAGTCAGCAGGTAGCATCCTGGTTGCCAGGAAACGTCTTTTATCCCTTAGGTGGAATGAATAGTAAACGCAGGCGGGGAGGAGGAGGAGGAGGAGGGAGACATGACTCACCCACTAACTCAGCAGTCCGGAGTCTGGTCTGATAATACTGCCAGGTGTTCCCACACGACAAGAAACACTGTGTTAGCAAGGAAGGAGGGAAGTCCTTGAAATTCTATGTAGCGTTTCCGCTGTCTGGGAAAGAAGGCCTTGAGACTGTGCTTTTATCCCAAGGCCTGAAATGCAGGAGAGGGTCCCCAGTGCCCAAGAAGCAGCCCATAAATAACTTCGGGTAACTGCCCCAACTTTAATTAACAGCTTCCTGTCACATATCTGTTTTACAACAAGAGGAACAAATGGAGTCTGGAGCAAGATAAGGGTTCGGGATAACAGACCCCCACACATACCTGTTTGGATAGTCATATCCTCGCAGGAAAGCTGGCACCACACTTACCCGTTAATCAATATGTAACATTTTTACTCCATCCCACCAACTATGTAAGTCCTCAGAACAAAGGACTCGCTCTCTTAGTGCTCTTAGGTGCTCTTGACACACTGGGCGCTCTTGGTTCTCTGACTGCCTGGCCTCAGGCCTCCTGGGGGCTTGCCATCCGGCCTTCGGCTGTCCTTACTTTTGCTGCCCTGCTTTGCCCTGAACCTCTGCCTTTCACTGCCCCCCGACCCCCCATCTTAGCTAGACCGGTTCTCTTCCATGGGAACTGATCACTAATAAACCGATTGCACACTAATAGATTTGCCGATACGTAATTCTTTACATGCGTCAGCAAGAAGAACCAGGTTTCTCCCGTCGACATAATGAAGCAAATTTGAACCTTTTTCATCTCTTAGCACACATAAAGTAATTACTAAGATTGTGTGGCACACCAAAAATATATTTTTTGCCAGTCTGACCAAAAAAATAGGTATAATTTTGATTCATGCACCCCGGACAGCTATTTTTGTGTTGGCTGCTGTCATTTTCTTATTTTACAAACTAAGGGAAAAGAGGCCAGTGCCCTGACTAAACAGTCGGGTGGTGCATGTTATGAAAATTCCTACAGCACATCAGTGCGCCATAGCAACAGGTTGAAAACTGCTGGTCTAATGTATAAAATAAACTGCAGAACTGCCATTCTCCAGGGCACTTTCTCAATCCGTTGAGATTTTGCTGCCAGCAATTGTCATCGGTTTGGCTCACATAAACTCATAAAAATTCTCTACAAGCTAGAATGTTTGTTTCATGGACAGCACATAGTAAGCAAACCATTGATGGTAAGTTTACATTCCAGCAAAACCCATATACTTGTATGTTCTGTGTCCTGAACAACTCAAGGTGGAGCATCATTCACTTAGATTATGATGTGAGGGACACCCTCAGAGTTACCACATGGCTGCCCTGTGTTCAAGAAGCAAGATGAATGAACATTCACTTAATAAACATATCTAGTTACTACATGCATTCAACACATATGCGAGTGTGCATGAGTCATGTTCTAAAAGAGAAGTTCCTGCAGCAACAATGGGGGCCTGGCTGTTCCCTCCTCCCACCTGCCCTGCCATCTCTGGTCTCTGCACCCCACCCCCTATTGCTAGAGCTCCTTCTGACTCAATCCCAGTTCAACTTCACCTGCTTCCTTGCCCAGCCTAATGCCCTGGGAGGCCATTCTGCTCAGAGCAGATAGCTTTCCCTGCACTCTGCCTGGGCTGCCGGGCTGCCGAGTACTGGTGAGGAAGGGCACTAACCCATGCTGCCCGCATCCTGCACACTCACACTGATGTGATCTCAGTTGAGGCCCCAGGTGGCAATCTAGGTTTCATCTCTTGACTAACTGTCATGCTCCACAGCTGCTTCACCCACGTCTTCAGATCCTTCTCTGTAGCCTCCAATTTTACCACACAGATGAAGCCACATCAGAAGAACAGCCTCAACCCGACTTCTTCCGCCCCGCAGAATACATCCAGAGCTTCCTCTGGTCTCAGAGAAAGTGGGGTCTAATATGCATTAAAAATCTTGCCACTTGCAACAGCATGGATAGATTTTTGAGGGCATTATGCTGATTGAAATCAATCAGACAGAGAAAGATAAATACTATATGACCTCATTTATATGTGAAATCTAAAAAACAAACTAACAAACAGAAACAAAAATACACGCAGAACAAATGGGTGGTTGCCAGAGGCAGGGGTGGGGGTGGGTGAAATGGGTGAATGTAGTCAAAAGGTACAACTTTCCAGTTAAAATAAACAAGCCATGGGGATGGCATGTACAGCATGGTGACTATAGTTAACAATACTCTACTGCATATTTAAAAGTGGCTAAGAGAGATCGTTTTTACATTTTTACTTATTGATTTTAGAGAGAAAGAGGAAGGGGGAGGGGGGGAGAGAGAGAGAGAGAGAAAGAGAGACGTGGATTTGTTGTTCCACTTACTCGCACATTCACTGGTTGATTCTTGTATGTGCCCTGACCCAAACCTGAAACCCCAAAACCCTGGAACCTCGGCTTATCGGGACAAGGCTCTAACCGACTGACTTATCCTACCAGGACTGGGAGAGTAGATCTTAAAAGTTCTCATCACGGACTGCCTGAGGGAGTGGTGGGTGGTGGGTAGAGGGGGGCAAAGGGGAAAAAATCAGGACAATGTAATAGCATAATCAATAAAATACAATTTTTTTAAAAAAGTTCTCGTCACAAAAAAAGTTTGTTGTTATGCATGGTGATGAATGGTCACTAGACTTGTTGTGGTGATCATTTCTCAGTTCTTACATTAACTGGCTCATTCAAGGGTCAGTGTATCTGCTGAGGCCCCAGCGTGTTCTCAGAGCTCCACCAGAATGTGTGAATGGTTCTGCCATGCTGCCCAG